GTTGTAATCGTAGATTAGGACTTGATTAAATAAAAGTACTAGCATGATTGCTGAATTTTAAAAAAAAAAAAAAAAAAATTAATAAATTAGATTTACTCCTTTTCACTAACACCTAAACCTAATATTAGAGCAATAACAAAAATTCAAAAATAATAATCTAATAAGAAATACTATTATATATATAGTATAGAGAATAAAACTTATAACTAGTACTAGTTTGTAAATAGCCTACTAGAGCAAAGCTAGCAAGTCTTGATATTTGGGATCTTTGCTAGGAAAATCACCCTTCAGGATTTTCTGAATGAGCCAATTCGGAAAGACTTAGACCAGAACACCAGTTCTTATTTATATGCAAATCATCTTTTACCTTGCAGATATAATAGTTTGTTAAATAAACTATTGCATTGATAAAGGTAAAAGACGACTTACATATAAATAAGAACTGGTATTCTAGTCTAAGTCTTTCTGAATTAACCCGTTCAGAAAATCCCGAAGGGTGATTTTCCTAGCAAAGATCTTATTTCTTCATTTTACTTATAGCTAAAGCAAAGACTGAATATAAGCTTTATCAAAACTATTTAAACTGAATTAAGCAGTAATACTATCTTTTAACTTTAATTAGAGTTTTCATATCTATTTATCTTTAGTTTTTCTATAATTTGAAAAATTTAATATAACTCTTTATATTAATATTATAATCTTTTTATAATTTTGTTTTATTTTATTTTTTTGTTGTTAAAAATAGCTTATATTGCTAAAGAAATTTTATTAGTATTGCAAATAGGATTATATATTAATAATTCTTACTATTTGTAATTATATAAAGAATATACAACAAGCTATATATACAACTTTAGTCATTATCTATTTTAAGTAGTCTGCTACACAGGTATTAGACTATCTAATTAGTTCTATTCTATACTACTATATCTGTAACCTGCTTGTAAGTTAACTATTTAAATATTCTGTTCATTAATATATACAAATCTAATCTACTATTACTACAATACTTAACTACTTAAACTAGCTAGCTTGTTATAGATCTATTTATTTAGAATAGCTTAGTTTTTCTTAGAATATATTATACTAAATATATTACTAGTATTGCAGAGCTAGTTAACTTCAAAGCAAATCTACTAGAGTAGTCTATATCTATTTTATGAATTCATCTAGCTTAGACTTTTGTAGATATTCATACAACTTTGGATTCTACTATAATCAGTTGATCTAGTTTTTTTTTAGTATTTAGCTAGTTTTAGTTACTCTTCATCTAAAGATTTTAAAACCTTCTACCTTTATTAGACTAAGTTTTCTTCTCAGATCAGACTTTAACTAATATAGTTCTGTTAGAAGACTATACTACTTTACTGACTTAGAATTTCTACTATGCAGGTCTCTTGCTTATATCCTATTAAAATTTATTTATATAATATTATATTATACTTCTAAGTTCTAATTAATTTAGTACAACTCAATTTATAGAATTATGCTTTTAGAAATGAATAGTATTTACTAAAATATATTACAAGATCTAAGAAATTATTTAAATTCTTTAATAGTGAGATTTGAATTTTAAACTTATTATATAGTAGTCTGATAACCTAAGTACTATACTAGATTACTAGGTCTACAATTAGGCTTCTGCAAAGGCTTAGACTACTCACAGATACCCTATAAGTAGTACTATATAGACTAAACTAGAGTATTATCTTTTTAGACTCTAGGACAAGAGTTAGAGCTCAAAGTATCAAGCTTTATATAGATAGATAAGGCTTAAGAGAAGCAGTATTCTACTCTTGTACTCTATGAGTACATATCATTACTAAAATATTACCTAATTATAATCTAAGCTCTATAAATAATCGATTATATGAATGAAAACCTGAAAACTAATATTTAGCCTCTAATAATTAGCATTTTAATAATTTTAGTAACATAGATGCTATGAATATAGTATCTAATAAACTACTAATATTTTCATATGAGCTTATCTGCAGTATATAAGTAAAATTAACTTTTTTTTCTATTCTTTAGTTTAATCCAAGATACAGTACTAAGACCCAATATACTAATTACCAGTGATAGCCTATGATCTAAGTCATAATATATTTTTAATATGACCTTAGTCATATGACTATATGATCATAAGTCATAAGGTCATAAGGTCATAAAGTTATGATCGAAGGTCATATAACTCATATGACCTAGGTCATATGACAAAAAGTCATAGATTATAAATTTTAACTAATTAAAATTGCATACATGTGTGTAACAGAATCATAAATATGTATTTATATAGGAAGTTAATTTATTATCTTATATATTATCTAACATATCGATAGAATTTTTTACAGATTTTAGTTGTCTTGCAAATTAACCTTCATTCTTTTATACGATTTTGTAGATTTTATCGAGCACAAATAGTTTCAGACAAAAATTCATAATAATAATTCAAGATGATATTCATAACATAGATTTAGATCTCGTTAGCAAGCTTATTGAGTCAAACATTTTCGATATATCAATGCTTACACTTACTATGTATAAAAATTTAAAACAATAAGCATTTGTGTATTATGTATTATAAGTACACCTATGTGTATTATTGTTAAGATAAAACTGTTAATTTTCAAACTTGACTACTGATAAGCTTTGTAGTTATTTTGGGACACCAGTAAGTGTTATTTCAAAATCAAGTATACTTTTTTAGAGAATTCGATTTATAAAATAATACTACTCATGCCTGTTATACAGTAATTTTTACAGGCTATGTTTTGAGTTACCCAAAGTAGCCAGAAAAGTTAGAATAAGTAATTAGAAGTATAGTGATACAATTAACTTTTTTAATCACACTATATCCTTACAATAAAAATATTATATTTTTGAAAATATAATGCAATTAAAAAAGTTAATTGTATTGTCATACTAACTTTTCTGGTTGCTCTAGATGACTCTTATTGTTTTGACATGCAAATTTGTCTACTAGGAGTTTTAAGGAATACTCTGTTATCAGTTTGCAGCTTTGAGGCTTTCTAATAATAGTTTTTATAGTTATACGTATATCTTCACATTTTTAAGCAAAATCTTATGTAATTTTTTATATATAAAAATGATTAAATATTGATACACAGTAAATTAGACAAATTATATCAATAAAAACTATAGAACCTTGAGCTCAACTTTACTATATTAAGATTTTAATTAATCTATATTAAAAGTTCACTATAATGAGAGATACATTCAAAAAGTATTGCTGTACTTTTTTTTCTTGTATAATAATCCATGAAATTTGAATCTTGGATTTCTTTTTTTGTTCGTTACTATGCCTCTTCATAATTTTAGAAGTTATTTTACTTTAGTAAAAAACCCAAATAACCCTACAAATACCTTCATGATATGTAACTAGTATATAAGAAAATATGATAGATTAGGAACAACTCAACTAAAACCAGAATGTTGCATGGTTAATAGAGCATATTTATGCTGTAATTATCTATCAAAATATAAAGCTTTCTGTAAAGCAAATACTGAAGAAAAAGTGCAAAGAGTTTTAGCTTTACCGATACCAGAAGATAACAAAAAAAAATAAAAAAAAAAATAATAAAGAAATAGATAGTATACAAAATTTTTAGATTATGCAAAATTATTAGTTTATGATATTGAATAATAGTTCAATCTAGATAAAAAATCTGATACTAATGAATCTACAAACTTGTATGCCAATTCAATAATTTCAACTACTTCAAGCCACTTGTCTATTAATAGCTGACAATCTGCAATCACAAATTTTTTTTGTTGACCTCTTTCAGTTAATAACAGATTGTGATTTGAACAATTGCTTTTAAGAATAATTGTTTCTAATATGTTGGCTTTTACTTTTGTTGAGAATGAAGAGACTATTGCTTTATTTAAATTTTTAGTACCTGAACTTAAATTACTAAAACGCAAAGTTATAGGTGACAAAGTATTAATGAAAAGTGTACAATTATTACAAGACAATATAATTAAAATTGCTAAAGATAATATAGATAGAGTAACTACTACTTTCGATGACTGGACAAACATAAGACAAGAACATATTTGGGGTATCATTTTCATAACTACAAGTAAACAATCTTTAACATGAGGAGTCTATGATATTAGTTTAGAAAGATCACAAACACAAAATATAATCAATCATATTGAACAGTTAATAGCAGAAACTAAAGAAAAAAAATAAATATCAAGGCATTTGTTTCAGATTCTGCTAGTGAATATGTAGCAGCATAGTAAATTTTATTTGTTTTTATTTTACAGCTGTTATCATTATTTCTAAGACACTTGATAATTTTTGCTCACTACTAAATTATTCTCAGTTTTATTCAGTAAATTGCATAATCTCTTAAAAACTATATTACTGTCTTCGGATCCTCAGTCTAAAGACAATCTGAGAGATTAGGCAATTTATCAGATAAAACTGAGAATGATTCAGTAGCGAGCAAAAATTATCAAGTGTTCTAGAAATAATGATAATAGCTATAGGCCATACAAAAAATTTTTTTTTGGTTTACTTAATTTGGCTAGATTAAAATTTGTAAACCTTTGAAAGAAATTTTCTTATGTAATTTATTATAAAAATCTCTGAGTCAGTTTTTAAAAAAATTTTAAAAAATTAAAATAAAAAACTGAGCTGCTGAGTCACTTTTAAAATTTTATGTTATGAAAACCAAGAAATTAACTTTGTATAACTTAGTTTCTTTTTCATATTATTTTTTTTAATTTTTGTAGTCGACAATTATGAAAAAAGTACCCTTCAAAGATTTTTTTACCGTGTATATCCTATCAAACAAATTTAATATTCAGTGAAATTTTTAAAGAATCTAGTCAATATCAAAGGGTTTCTAAAGTAGCAATAAGAATTGTAAGTTTTTTTCGCAAGTCAACCTTTTTTATGGAAAATCTTAGAGATGAACAAATACAAATTTATAAAAAATATATCACATTAATTACGTCTGAAGATACAAGGTAGAATTTATACTATTTTTATTTTCATTCTATTTTGAAGTTTAAATCTGCTCTTAAGGTATATTCTTTATCTCGAGTAACTATTATTAGCAAAGTATATATTGATAAAATTTCATCATGTGTTCATAATCAATTGCATATTTAGTAACAAATTTATAAGTTTAAATTACTTCGTAGGACTATAGTTGTATGCAATATTATTTTTGGTTCTTATAGCTTAGGTTAATCTTTTGAATTTAAAAAAAATTTATAATACGAAAATTTCTGGTAAATATAGTTTTTTTTTTTTAAAAAAAAATTCATGTTATATATATATTTTTAAAAAAATTGTCAATTTTTGGAATTTATTATGAAAACTTTACAGTTAGATTATTGCTAAAAATTTTATTAACTATTATTTAATATAAAATAATAATTAGTATCTTTCAGCTAAGTTTAATAATCATCATGATAATATAATTCAAACTAATAGTATCCTGTCTGTACTAGCAAATAACTAATTAACATTTTATAATAGTGTCTGAAAACTTCCAGATAATATCGCAGATATTATAAATGATTCTCAGTTTTGAATAACATTAGCTAATTTACAAGATCTTTTATATTCTCTTTGTAGCTTTTTGAACAAATTACAAAAAGATACAGCTCGACTATATGAAGTTTTTCATTGTTTTGAGTATATAATGAAAATATTTGAATGCTATCGAGATATTGAGTTTGGAGAAAGAATAACAAGACGTATTGAATCTCGTTAGAAAGAATGAGAGCAACATTAATGATTATTTCATTTGCACTATATCTATAATATAAACTTATCAAATTTAATAGTATAACTGCTAATCTATCCTGAACTCATATTAGGCAATAGCTCTAATATTATTATGAGACATGTTTTAATTCCAAACCTACCTCTATTTTATCTGAATTAATATAATATAAAAAAGAAATTGATTTATATAATACTGAGTTATTTATGCAATTTAATAGAAATTTAGTAGATTTTTAAAAATCAACTGAAGGAGTAGGTCCAGAATTAGCATGAGTAGCAATTCGTGTTTATAGTATCTGTATTAACTCTGCGTCTGTAGAATGTTTATGGTCTTTCATGAGATTATTACATACTAATCACTAAAACTGATTGCAAGTTTGATTATTAACAACTTATTATAATTTTTTTTTATCTTTTATATTGTTTAACAATCACGAGCAAATTTGTCTGAGTCAGATACCTAAAAATCTTAATCAAAGTTATATTTTTATCTAAAATTAGAAGCTAGTCAAAATTCAGATAAACAGAATTCTGACAAGATCAAAATCCCGACAGATTAGTATTAGCATAGTGTTAGTCAATTTTTGTCGAGATTTTTGTTTGTTAAGATTCTGTTTGCCAGAATTTTAATCCAAATCCCTAAAATCATACAACTATACTGAAATATGACTATTGAGCATTTTGCACGTTTTCTGTGATATAGGTATTTAACTTCTGAAGAGCTCTGGGAAAAGTGCATTTGTTCAAAATTTCACAAGCAAATTTGCCAATAAAACATGGTAAGGAATAATCTATCTTATATTTATACTTATTTACTATAATTAATATTACAGCAAGAGAAGATCTTAGCAATGAGCAAAATTCGAAGTGACATCCTTTACTCCCGCAAAATCAAAAATGCGAAAGAATATGATAATCAAATTCACCAACTACATATTGTAGCACCTATATCATCAGATGATAAAATCGTTGAACAAGAATTAACTATTATTGATTCAAACTATCAAGTGAGTGACAATGAAGATAAAGATAATGTTGAGGAAGCAACTGCTAGCTCTAGTAATTGAATAAATCAAAATTTTGAAGATGAAAATTTTGAAGATGAAAATTTAATTACAGAAGTAGAACAAAGATAGAAAAATGTAATTAATGAATAGATCAAGCTTAGAGATCGTGAAAACTAATTTGAGAATAAAGATGATGAAATTTTACTGACAAGCAATTAGGATACAGATTTTGGTTTTGGGAGAAGAGAAAAACATCCTGCTGATGATGAATCAGCCAAATGGTCTTTAGATTTACTCTTCATTTCTTCTTTAGAAAAGCCATTATATTTTGATTCAGAACTTACTTCAAATAAATAAAAATTCAAAAAATACAGATATAAGACATTCGGTAATATGCTAAATAGGAAATGCTAAAATTAAAGTTGAAAAGATAAACATTAAATATTCAATAATCAACAAAAATTCAAAAATACTGATTAAAAAAAAAAAAATAAACATAAAGCACAAATTAATAAGCTGAAATGGAAAAGTGCCAATGGAATTCGATTAAAATAAATAAATATAAAGCATCTGTTAATTAGCCAAAAAGAAATGCTAATGAAATTAAAGTCAACAAAGATAAATATAAGGTATTTACTAATTTGTTCGAATGGGAAACTCTAGTAAAATTGGAATTAAAAAAAATAAAGCATTCATTAATCTGATGGAATAAGAAATACTAGCATAATTTATATTAAAAAAGATGAGTATAAATATTCATTATAACTTAAAAAAAAAAACAATACAATTTATTCGATATACTACTTTCAATTAAACATATACAAATTTATTGATTTTTTTTATCTGATTTTTAAATGAACCTTTTTTCAGATATAGCTTTTAAGAACAATTATTTTAAATCAAATTTTGTACAAATTATAATTATAATGTTAAAAATATGAAGTTAAAAGAATAAAGTTACAAAGCCGAATTTATATCTGAGTCATCCAAGTCAAGAAATAATCACACAAGTAAATGTTTTATTATAATTTTTAAACTAAAAGAGTCTCTAGGATAAAACTTGTTAAAACTTGTGCTATACAAAATTAAATATCACACTATTAATAAATATATATCTATGTGGTTTAAAATTTGTTTTTAGTAAGTTTACTAAATAAACTAATTGTTCCTATTCAAGTTACTAATAGTAAGTATTATAATCTTAATTAAACTTATTTCACTTTAGCAATTTTATTTATCTTTATTTAACCTTTCATATTATTGAATTAACTACTTAATTTAAAAATAGATCTCAATATTTAAATACTATATGTGATTGAAAGCTTTATTATATTCTTAACTAGTATATGATCTAGTAGCAGCTTCACCTCTTGAATTATAGTTTAATTTTATTAAAAAGATTCTTATAGATAACCATTAATGAAGGTATTGTAGTTTATATATTTATTGGAGTTAGCCAAAATTCTAAAAGGTTAGCTTTCATTAGGTTAAGGCTATTTAAAGTTAACTAGATATAACCTGTTGCTTTGCAAATTTTTGATAATGTATTTTATTACACGATGTATTTATTAATATATAAATTTTGAAAATTCTAGGGATATCCATTATTTACATAAAACTAGTATTGTATTGTATAATGATAAGGATCTTGAAATTAATATCTCTAAAACAATACTAGATTTACGTTATAGATGTCTCTTCTCATATTTTAAATATTTTGTGCATAATACTGGTTTTATTTTCTAATTCGAGTTTTTAGGTATCACATATTATATTACAAAATTCTGTGTATTATATATGTACTAGATAATGCAATATAGTAATAGTCCATATAAAAAAACCTGCGCAAAAGTAATTTCTATTATGACTGAGATCATAAGTCATATCATATATTTTTATGATCTTATGACTTATGACCGGTCATAAAGGTCATAAAGGTCATAATAGGTCATATGTCAACATTGCTAATTACTAATATACTAATTAATTATTAACATACTACTACTAATATACTACTAACATACTACTACTAACATACTACTACTAACATACTACTAATATACTACTACTAATGCACACTACCAATATACTGAACTACTAACATATTGAACTACTAACACACTAAACTACTAACACACTAAACTACTAATACATTAAACTACTAATACAC